TGGCTGGTGGGTTTGAACCACCAGCCTCCTGGTTAGCAGTCAAGTGCCTTAGGCACTATGCTACCAGAGCTCCATAGATTATAATACATTGAATAACAATTAAAAAAAGAATCTATGATTCCATATTGGTATTTTTAAAAACAGAGAAGGGGAAGAAGGGAATGTGTTCCTCTATAAGAGAATGCTGATTAATGAATACAGAAGGAGTATTAGAATTTTTTTAAAAAATTGTCAACAGATTCAGGTTGTTATCAATGGATACCACAAAGTAATTGGAGACTAGGACATTCACACACTCTCAAAGTGTTCCACAGTTTACTTACTATTTCACAAGGAAAATGGCAGCTTGGCATTAGAGAAATCTTGCCAAGTGATCAAACTTACTATCACCAAGAAGAATATGCTTATATCTCATGTCTCCTGAAGGAACAGTTTAGGATACAGCATCACCTCTGTAGATTTACTGCCCCAAATGTTTAATATGAATATCATCATGACCAGACATTCAGACTAACCCACACTGAGAGACAATTTTCAAGACAACTAGCCCAGATACTTCAAATATGCTAATCTCATGAAATAGTCAAAAAGCCTAGGGAACTGTCCTAAATTAAAGGAGACTCGTAGCGTAGTGCCTAAGGCACTTGACTGCTAACCAGAAGGCTGGTGGTTCAAACCCACCAGCCACTCCTCAGAAGTAAGATGGGGCACTCTACTTCCGTAGTGATATTGCCTCGGAAACCCAAGGAGGGGTCGCTATGAGTCAGGTCTGACTCGATGGCACATAACAACAACAACAACAACAAACATGACAACTAAATACAATGTGTGATTCTTAATTGAATCCTGGTTGGGGGGCAGGCAGGCAAGACAGCTATGCAGGACATGATTGAGACAATAATTATGAGAGTCCAAAAATTTAACTGCCTAGAATTAACACCGGGGAGCTCTGGTAGCATAGTGGCTAAGGCACTTGACTGCTAACCAGAAAGCTGGCGGTTCAAACCCACCAGCCACTCCTCGGAAGGAAGATGGGCCAATCTATTTCTGTAATGATACTGCCTTGGAAACCCAAGGAGGGGTCGCTATGACCAAGGTCGGGTCTGACTTGATGGCACATAACAACAACAACATAATTAACACCAAGGAGGAAAAGCCACAAAGGTAGGAAGTAAAACAGTAGAGTTTAGTCTCACAGAAATCAAGAAATGAGAATGTTTCAAGAAAAAAGTGGTCAACAGTGTAAAATGCCATTGGGAGATCAAGTATCATAGAAAAAAAATGTTTATTTTTTTTCCAAGTGTGTATTGACAGATGCTATAGATTGAATTGTGTTTCCAAAAAATAAATGTTGTAAATCCTAACCACTATATCTATGATTCCCACTAGCCATTTGTGGTGGTTAAGTTTGTGTGTCAACTTGGCTAGGCCTGGTTGAGTGTCTGGGCAGCTGGATGTGGTATTCCCCATGATGAAACTGGTAATCAACTCCATGGTAGAATCTACTGTGAGCAGCTGAGTAGCTGCCTTTGG